CATTTATTTCCTCACAGTCCTGGAGGCTGGAAGTCCGAGATCAGGGTGTCACGGGGCTGGTTTCTTCTGAGAGCTCCCTCCTTGATTTGCAGATGACTGTCTATTCCTTGTATCTTCACAAGGTCTTCTCTGTGTGTATGTCAGTGTACTAATCTCTTCTTTTTGTGAGTCATGTTGGATTAAAGCCCACTCTAGTGACATATCAACTTAATTTCCTCTTTAACTACCTTATTTCCAAATTTAGTCACTTTATGAGGTACTAGGGGTTGGGAATTTTAGGAGGGCATAATTCAGCCCATAGCACCTCCCCATCTCTCTGGGATATGGGATAGTCACGTAGCTGAATATAATTACATTTATCAAAGAGCTAATTAGCATATATTCTGTTCCAAGGAGTCAAAGCCAAGTTTTGAAGGACATTCTGAATTGACAGAATGATAAAGTGTTGAGACTTACCCACTCAGCACTGTATAGAAAGAGTGAAGTGTGGACTGAAGGAGCAGTGAGGTGCTGACAACGCAGAATTCAATTAGAGTGCTGACAGAGGGAAAAGCCGGCCTGAACAAGTGACGTGGTCCATGTGGACGTGCACTAGACCCGGCTCCTGGCTGGAGGGGGGATATGATTCCTGAGTGTCCCCAGCATCAGCAGAGGGCCAAGCACAGAGTAGGCACAAACCTGTTGCTGAAACAATATGTCTCATATTATCCTCCACTTGTATTAGAACTCCACAGTGAGCATACAAAATAGTCTCAGAAAATAATTAGTCATCTAATCTAATTAACTTTGCCAAAATCATTTAAGAGATGACCCACTGGTCCCAGAAATACTGCATTTAGTATTTGGTTGAACCATATGAAATGGCCAATATTTGGTCTTTTTCACCTACAGCAATGGCCATTTCACCTTGGTTAGACCTAATTCAATGTCTGGTTTACATTTTTCTTTTTTCTTTTTTAAAAAAATATATTTTATTGATTTTATACAGAGAGGAAGGGAGAGGGACAGAGAGCCAGAAACGTCGATGAGAGAGAAACATTGACCAGCTGTCTCCTGCACACTCCCCACCGGGGATGTGCCCGCAACCAATGTACATGCCCTTGACCGGAATCGAACCTGGGACCTCTCAATCCGCAGACTGATGCTCCACCACTGAGGCAAACTGGCTTCGGCTACATTTTTCTTTTTAAGAGAAAGAAAATGACAAAACAATCCACTGAGTGAAAACCAAGTTGTATTTGCAGATCAAATGGTCATGTAAGAGGAACCTATTCCAAAATCACAACTACTTCTCCAAATAGGAAATCTTAAGAGCAAAAGATTCTATTTCATTATAACCAAGAAAGGTAGGCAGCAGGGCATACAGCCTTCTGTGGTGATAGAAGTTGCAGTAGATATATGAAACTTTTTAAAGATTTTTTAATTGATTTTTTTTAAGAGAGAAAGGAAGAGAGAGAGACAAAGAGAAACATTGATACAAGAGTGAAACATTGATCTGCCTTCTTCAGGCTCCCTCCTGGAGATTGAGCCAGCAACCCAGGATTGTGCCCTGACTAGGAATTGAACTGGCAACCTTGTGCTTCACGGGATGATGCTCAACCCACCAAGCCACCAGCCAGGTCTGACACTTTCATTCTCAGTGTAAAAGGGCTTATGATATTAAAAAGTGTTATTGCTACACTAAAGGCCCAGTGCACAGATTCATGCACAGTGGGGTCCCTCAGCCTGGCCTGTGCCCTCTCGCAATCCGGGATCCCTCAGGGGATGTTGGAGAGCCAGTTTTGGCCCTATCCCCGCAGGCCAGGCCGAGGGACCCCACTGGTGCACGAATCCGTGCATCAGGCTCCTAAGTATGCATATAAGGTCTTTAGTTAATCTCTTCCTGCCCTCCCCTCTTCCCTTCCCTATGAGATTAATCATTCTGTTCCATGTTTCCATGCCTGTACAATGAGCGTCTATATGGTGGTTATTGTGCATCATAGCTTCTAGCCAGTTGGCTGGTCACTTAGGCATATATATATATATATATATATATATATATATATATATATATATATTGCATCTTTTATTGGCTGGCTTGCAATGAAGCTTCCCCACAGCTCCACTAGTAAATAGCCCCATTGTGATTATTTATAAATCAGTTTTATTATCAGTGCTGGGCTAATCAAAGATCAGCTCATGCCTAAAAGCATGACTAAAAAATAATGCACTGTTGCATAATAGGATTTGTGGAACTTTTGTCATGCTATTTTTATCCGTACACAATATTCAACCATCTCACATTGAAAAGAACAACTTAAAATAAGGTGCTAATCCTGGGCCACATTTATACAAACAAAAAGCACCAAAGGGAATGCTGTTCTTGATTTACTTGCACTGAAAATACATCAATGCTTATTAATTTGGAACAAAGATCCTATGAGTAAACAGTCATTTTTAAACAAGCCCCCAAACTATTTGTAGCCCTTCAAATATCAAGAACTTAAGGCATGCATTCTGTCTGTAAGACACTGTTTCTGAACATTTTTCAGACATCTAGAGAACAGTCTGAAATAGCAGCAGGCATAGAAGCGGTCTCCACTTAAGAGAAAATAGGAACTTTATGTCTATTAACTCTGACATATTGCTATTTTCACGGAACCTAGAGTGATGAAAGCACATAATCTTTCTCAGATAATACCGGGAGGCTCGTTAAAGATATGACTAAGATGATCAGCACAGTACTTTTGAGTTATGCAAATACACAAAGCAATCTTTGAAGCAGCATTACTTTATCTCAAAGAGCATCAGCCAATGCTACAAAATAGCAAAACCCAGAAGTGGCAGAAATCATTCACTTCCTAAGTGCTGTGCTAGAGATCCTATGAGAGGAGCACAGCCAGCCCAGCCTTTTCCAGAGGACCAGAAATGTGGGGTATTTTCACTGCACTAGGGACAAGATGAGGCTCTATGATGCCGTCATGGAGTTGAATGCTAAGAGAGCCTCAGGGTCCCTGATGGGCCCTCCATGCTGGTTCGAAGCTCTGTAGGCAGGTGGTTTCAGGAGGAAGAGAGCATGGTTATTTTCCTTGCTCATTCCTCTTAGAATTCTCCAACCCAGGTCCCCCGACACCCTTGGTCATTCTGAACCAACAGATTCGGAATGGAGGAGAGCTTGGCTAGCTGCCTGTTCAACCTACAACTCAGTCTGCCCATCAGGATAGTCTAACCACAAACTGCATCAGGATGTGCAAGACTCTCAAGCTAAATAAGTACAAGATGAGGGTTTGGGTGGTTATTTTTCACTTTTATTCCAATGAATCCTGTAACTGTACGCAGCCTAATGAATTCCCCCATCAGCTCTCCCTTGCTGGTGGGTGTACTTAGATTTTAGCCCTGGGGTCACACCATTAGATAAACCGTGGTGCCACTTGCCCACATGAGACTGAATGAGAAGAGAACAGACATCTTTTTGGTACAAAACATTTTAATAACATATCTTTGGATAAATGCAATTGTCTTCTCCTCTAATTTCCTAGATCAGGCACTTGAAAATGAGAAATATCAGGAATGGACAACCCGGTCCATTAAAATTCATTGGATTTGCTTTCCTAAGAAAATACAAACAGTGTGGGAGAAAATGGCATTTAGTGTTTGCCAGCGGAGTTAGTAAGACTGATAATGACTAAAATATCTTTAATGTGCTAGAGCTTGATTCACAGATGCAGAAGTTAGAGAAATTTCATTTGTTATAAATTAGCTTTTTCTTATATTCTGCATTTATGATTAAGTAGTTTCTTTAGTTTGAAATGGTTTGATTAATATCACCCTTTTTGGGAAAAACTTTGATAGTCTCTGGCCTGGCCTAGGTACCTCACCTGTTCATTTGAATATTAGTTATGGCTTCAATAGCTGACTGATAGTTTGGTTCTACAAGGAACCACTTTAGGTTCTTATCTAAAGCTAGTAGGGCGAATATAACCTAAGTGGGTCAAATTCAATTTAAAAATCTTACTTGTTCTAGTCAAAAGGCAATCAAAGGCAACTTGGTCTATAGACTGGGAGGTATGGGCCAGATCTCACGCTGTCACACCATCAGCATGAACAGACATGGCACTGGGGAGGGCTGCAGTGCCTGGACAGCAGGGCTGGAGAGCCTGCCCCATGAGGCCGGCCTTTCTGTGGAGTCCTGTTTCAGAGCAGCTTCCCACAGTGCCCGCCACTGATCCCAGTTTCTCTGTAAAGATGTTATTTGACTCAGCAGCAGCCCAGGGGAGTGGGAATAAGGCGTGATGAGTGAGAACTACTCCTGTCTCCTGTGACAGCAAAGGTTGGCAACATCGTCTAGAAGCCTGAGCAAGTCTACTTTCTACAGGTAAAAAAACCCAACTATCTCACAGTCATTCCTTTAACAGCAAAACTAAACTACTCTGAAAAAGAATACATTTTGAAATCCTTTGCCACATCTATAAAAAGAAAAAAAGAAAAGATTTCAACAATTTAAAAAAATCCTTTAAAAACATTGTATCAACAACCTTCTTATTAAAAAATAAGAAACACTTGGTTTAAGACACTTGGTGACTTCCTTACATCATGCATCGGGGGTGGATACACACTGACATTTTACTACTGACATCTACTTGGTAACAATGGTAGAAAGAGTTCTGTCAACAAGGTAATTGTTCTGGAAAGAAGAGTTACAGCTTTTCCCAAAATGTCAAAAAAATAAGGATGTAAACATACATTACTTGAAACAGTAATACAACAATATTAATTCAGTTAAATAAATAAAAGTGGCAACAACTTTATGGCAATTTTTAAACACAAAAATGTAGCTCAACAATATCTTAAAATATATAACTGCTCCAAAGAGAAGCGGTCATACTTAGCACAAACCAAGAGCATGAAGCAGAGTGCTGGGAGACGAAGCAGCTCCACGCCTGACCTTGTTCATCTATGAACAGAAATGCCCATGGGTCTTCTGGTCTCAAACAGTCGCCAAGAAGGGAAAGGCAGCTGCACTAAACACCAGGCGTAAGGCTGTCTTTTGTCAGTTTTCTTTTTTCAAGTGTGCGCTTAAATATTTTCTTTAGGGTGTTGTAAACTATTGGTCCATTTTCAGAATCAAAATTAACCTGGTGACAAAGAAAATTTACATTCAGGACACTGTAATAAGAAATTTTACCAGTCTATTTTTGGAGAAAAGAAATGGGATGGAGAAAAAATAACACTTATTAGCAAAATCATATATAAAAATTTTTAGATTAATGAACTTTTTAAAATCCTCACCCGAAAATATTTTTCCACTGATTTTTAGAGAGTGGAAGAGAGAAGGAAAGACAGAAAAAAGTGTTGAGTTGAGAGAAACACATTGATTAATTGCCTCCTGTATGTGCCCTGGACCAGGGCCCGGGCCAGGGAGGAGCCTGAAACCCAGACATGTGGCCTTGACTGGAATTGAACCTGGGACCTTTCAGTCCGTAGGCCACACTCTATCCACCAAGCCAAACTGGTCAGGGAAAAATTATACATATATATAAAATATGCTAGGCCAGTGTGACTCAGTGGTTGAATGGCGACCTATGAACCAGGAGGTCACAGCTCAATTTCCGGTCAGGGCACATGCCCAGGTTGAGGCCTTGATCCCCAGTGTGAGGAGTGCAGGAGGTAGCTGATCAATAATTCTCTCTCATCACTGATGTATCTATCTCTCTCTCCCTCTCCCTTCCTGTCTGAAATCAATAAAAATATATTTTAAAAAAGTATACACAATACATTTCACACATTCATTTTAATTACATATTAGAATTGCCAATTACATCAATGACAAATTGATCAATGAAAACCCAAGACTTAAATCTAGTGCCTGTATATATAGTCTACTTAGACACTGTGAGGAAGCTGACTGAGTGTGCAGTGTGTTTTGGAGCTAGAACCTGGTCAGTGACATATATAAGTGCAAGGACTCCTCATGAAAACAATGTGCACTAACTACGTGTTGCACAGGGGTGACTTGAACGGGAGCCTGGCCTCCTACCTGCCAGCCATGCAGCCTCGGGTCATCCCTGACCTCTCTGTAAGAGGTAGGCCGCAATGCCCATCTCCTTAGGTTTCCGTGAATACTAAATATGAGAGCCTGACATGTAGCAGTTTCCTTGGTGGGAAGGCACCATGTACACATGCAAACTGTCTGCCCAAGTTCCCTGTACTGCAGGGTTAGGAGTGATGCAGGATGGAGAACAAGAGCAATGACCATGCTTCCCTACCTCCCCCCAAAGAAACATGTGACTCCTGTGACAGGGTCAGACCCCTTGGCCAGGGCCCCCTCCTCCTGCACCTGGAGGGAGGGAGGGCTATCTCCTTGTGAAGGGCTGGGAAGCGTCTGGGGTTTCCCTCTGCTCACATGCTAACATCTGCTGGCCTGGGGACACTGGAAGGAGACACTAGACTGCTGGGCCAGAGACTAACAACATTGTAACTTGAACAACATAATCACACGTGGGTCACAAGGGGGCGACACGGAGGGCTCAGGTGGAGGCCGCACAAGCAGGGCATTTGCATCATAGTCGAGGATCCCAAGTAGGGGCTGCAGCAAGCCTACTGAGCTCTGCATAAAGGGAGACATGGCCTTTTCTACGTGGGAAGCCCAGGATAGACTGCTCCTGTGATTGTGCACAGGGGAGACCCAAGGACTCTCCTAACATTTTTATAGACAGATTTGGACAACTGGTATAGTTAACTCTTCACTATTGATAGTATCCCTCTAAAAGGCCAAAAGAAGTTGTAAAGAATTTTGGAGAGACCAATATTAGGTATTATTTTCAGTTAAGTCAGACACTTATTTTTATCTTAACCATTCATTATATTGTCTATTGTATTTGTAGAAACTTACTAACATTAATAACAATCTGCACTGTTTACTTTGGTAAACACCAAACCACATCCTTCCCCACACAGCAAGTAGCTTCTTGGTCTATAAAGGCCTATGAAAATGTAATAAAACATAGATGTAGAGGATCATGTGATTGGGGTTTGAGCTGCTGACTGGGTACCTAGTGCCATGAAGCTACAGATAGGGAACAAGAAAGCCTGCTGGAATAATATCACTTTAGAAAGAGCACAGGCGGAGGACTGGTGAATGGTACAGATAATGACTGGTATCATCACTAGTGTTTACTGCAGACACCATCATTGAAAAGCTGGGTTCTTTGCTTAATGACATTTTCGTATTATAAGTGAGAAGTACCAAAAAATTAACTGAATGGGCAAGGGAAATCTTTTCACTTGGCAGGCCCCCGACTCTTCTTCAGCCAGGAAAGACTGCTGTAAGCCAGAAGGATGTGTAGAGAAAGGAAACGTTTTTTACTCTCTGCTTAGGATTTGCCAACTAGGACACTACCGAATCGTCAATGCTGGACACTGAATTCTCACTAGATGATTTCTTGTTCAGACCCAAGGTAGAACTGGCTCAACAACAAGATTCTCTGACTCCTACTGGCACATCATTTAAAATACTTTCTCAATACCCAACTGTTTCTCTTTATAAAAGCTCTTTGTTTCAATGTTCTCCTACAACCCCCCCCCCCCCACACACACACACAGGTCAGCTTTTTCTAATATCACTGTTAGAAAACGGGTAATTTTAGCTAAAAGTCTGCAACTATTTTCAAGAAATGTCAAATACATTTCCCTGCAGAGGAGCCATAGCGAACAGTTTTATTTTAGAGGAGGCAGCTGACCTCTGAATTCTAACTTGCAAAGATCATGCTGCTGTGTCTGAAGGAGGGAGAGTACCACCCACCTTGGTGAAAGCTTGGATGGCGTGGGCCAGGACAGCTTCCTCCACATCCACGGGAACCGGCTGCAGGCTCACCAGGCAGTGCAACACACAGAGGATAGTCTGGTGCTGGCCCTGTTTTGTTTTTTTCAGAAATTGAAATCAAACAAGTTTTTTTGAAAAATGCCTCAAGAAATAAACTCAAAGCAAGTGGAGAGCAAGGAACTGGCATGTGACCAAGTGCTTTTAACCCCCATCACCACACTCTCTACCAAGGGCTCTGCCAGTGTTTACTGTCATGTGTCTGATGCTTTTAGGAGCTTCTTAGTTATTACATGAAGCACAATTTCAAAAGAAATGTGTTCCTTGAAGTGAGCTAAAGGGATGATTCACTCAGTTTCCGGACACAATGGCATCAGCTGGGCTGTGTATGCTGACATGTCACAGCAACCAGGGACCTGCTCGCCCTGCTGCCTGCAGACCCTGTGGAGGACGGAGGGGTGTCAAGAGAGACGGGCAGCCCCCAGGAAGCATGGGAACTTTAGGAGATCTCTGACAAAACCTCCGGACTTGATTCCTGGGCCGTGCACTTAAAGAAACAAAGGAGAAGCCTCGCCCTGGCCAGTGAGCTCCAGTGCACACAGCCCTCACAGCCACTGGCTGCACCTGGACATCTGCTCAGACACAGAAACACCCAGGCACACAAGATCACAACTGTGGAACTGACAGAAGTAAGCCCCTGAAATGATGCCAACACCTACCCGTGGGCATGGAGTGAGTGACAATGGAAGCACATGATGTGCCAGAACAGTGAGCTTGAATCCTGCTCCCACACAGGCTGCGGGCCTGGGGCAGTATGTCACTTTCCCCTTTTCAATAAACGGGTCCTCTACCTTTCAGGGCCAAAGGGGTGAACAAAGGTGAACACAGAATCTACATCTCAGCGAGGGCCTGGCCTGCCACCACCCAAAAGGGTAACTGCCTCTCTCAACCGCTCTGCAGCCTCATCTCTGTAATTTCCCTGCTGAGAAACTAGCAGAAGAGGGCTCCCAATACAGGAAACATCTCATCTTAAAGCTGTGCGTCACACCACTGTGTGGTTGCCTGTCTGCGTTCACCAGCAGTAGTGCAGATTTGGAAACGAGACACATGGCAGCACAATAGGTAATGCAAGGCTGATTATGAGATAGCAGTTTCCTAAAATAAAAACAAAGCATATTTTTAAATAAAAATGTAATATTTCTCTATGGTTAAAAATATTAAATTGTAAGAAGGATCTAAAATGACAAGTCAGTCTCCTTCCCTCCCTCCCTAGATCTATTGTCTTCTAGTACGTTCCCTAAGGCAATCACCATTGCTATTTATTGGGGGTTTTTGTTTTCCTTCTATAGTCTTCTACCTTTTATACAAGGACTACATACATATATATGTGACACACTTCCCTTTCACAGAAAATACAAATGAGTGCATATTCCAACCCACCTCACGGCTCTTCAAATTGTACAGTTATTCTATCTAATAAAAGAGTAATATGCAAATTAACCATCACTCCACTACACACAAACCACACCCACCAGCCAACCAGGAGCGAGTATGCAAATTAACACAACCAAGATAGCTGTGGCCATGGAGAAAGGAGGTTTGTGTTTCCCCAGCAATGAAGGAAGCCAAGCTTTCCACATACTCTGGCCGCCCCAGGCCTCCACTCAAGAATACAAAATTTTCGACTGAAACCATGGATAGAGTTACGGCCTGTGGACTAAAGGGTCCCAGGTTTGATTCCAGTCAAGGGCATGTACCTTGGTTGCGGGCACATCCCCAGTGGGGGGCGTGCAAGAGGCAGCTGATCGATGTTTCTAACTATCTCTCTCCCTTCCTCTGTTAAAAAAAAATATATATTAAACAAATAAATATTAAGATGATCAATTTAAACCCAAATATATCAATAATACATTGAGTATGAATAGATCAAAATACATAATTAAAAGAAATGGTTGTCAGACTGTCAGATTAAATATAAACCACTCAATCCTATAAAAAAGATTCATTATAAATAAATGAGATTAAGACTAAAAGGATGGTAAAATTGTATATGCCATGCAAAAACTAACAAAAAGAAAGCTGGTGTATTTCACTACTATAACACAAAGCAGACTTTACGACAAGAAGCATTATTAGACAGACATAAAGATGGACATTTTATGATGACAAAAGTAGGTCTAAAAAGAAAATACAATAATTCTAAATTTGTAAGAATCTAAGAACATGATCTTAAACAAACAAACTGGCAAAATAAAAAAAAATAGGAAAATCCACATCATGGAGACTTTAACACATCCTTCTCAGTAACTATAGAAAAAGCAAATATGCCATCAATAAGGATATAGATTCTAACACGATTAACAAATGACCTAATGGACATTGTGCCCAGCTAGTGTCAAACACACATTCTTTTCAAGCACCACAGAATGTGTTTATCAAATTGTCCAAAGTCTGAGATAAAAATCTACTTTCAAATTCAAATTTCAGAAAATTTAAATAATATAGGTTATTTCCTGACTAACCACAGTGGAATTAAGCTGATAATTAATATCAAAAAGATAATTAGCCAACATCCTTCTAAATAGTTCATAGGTTAAAGAAGTTAATGAAAGTGAGAAATCTCTGAAATGAATGACAATAATTTTTTTAAATACTATATATCCATTTTTACAGACAAATAACTAACACCACACTTAGAAGAGCTTTTATGGGTTTAAATGTGCATATTAGAAAAATGAGAAAGGCTCAAAATTAATTATCAGAACTGATCTTAAGAAATTAGAAAGGGACATTAAATTAAAAGGAAGGTGAAGAAAGGAAAACATAAAGATCAGAAATTAATTTAATGAAAAGCAACCAGATGAGAGAATCCTTGACAGGCATAATGAAATTAATAAGCCCCCCACCAAGACCAAGAAAAAGGCAAAAACAGGAATAAAAAAGGATATCAACTGCAGTGTCTACAGACATTAAAATACAATAAGTGGATATTAACAACTTTATGCTGATATAATTGAAATGATAAATCAATTGAACTAATTCCTAGAAAAACATAACTTAGCAAAAGTATTAGAGTGTCAGTAGTCCTATATCCTTAGAGAAATTGAATATAGCCTGATATTTTTTCATGCAGTAATTTATTACAAGCATTTCCTTATGTCATTAAATATACTTGTCCAGTAATAGAGGACATTTATTAGTTACGACTGGGGTTTCATAAACTTCACTAATTCTTAACAACGTGACATTTGGTTAATTATATAACCTCTTAAGGCCACAATTTTGTTAAAAATACTAACCTCACAGATGGAATATCACATTTACTTAGTACAATGTTTGATCTAGTAAATGTTTGATAAGGATAGCAAAAAAAAAAACAAAAAAAAAAACACACAAAGTTTTCATTATAGAAGATAAATAAATCCCAACAAAAATTGTGGCAGCCACAAAGCTGGAAAGAGCAGAAGGCTTGAGTTTCCCCCGGTGATGAAAGAACCCAAGCTTCTGCAGCCCTGGCCTGCCTTGGCCTCCTCTCGAGGCTACAAAGTTTCAATTATAGAAGATAAATCCGATACGAGGGCCTATGCTTGGGTCTCTGGGGGCATGATCGGCCTGCAAACTACCACAGACCCCTTCCCCAGGCCTCCCCACACCCTAAGGGAACCCCCACCCTGATCTAGGACACACTTCATGGCAAACCAGCTGCGGCCCCCCCTTCCCCCCAATGCACCAGGCCTCTATCCTAATAAAATAGTAATATGCAAATTGACCACCACTTCAACACAAAAGATGGCTGCCCCCATGTGGTCAAAGATCCTGCCCCCATGTGGACACAAGATGGCCACTGCAAGATGGCCAGCAGGGGAAAGCAGTTAGGAAGGACCAAGCCTGTAAGGGAGGGCAGTTGTGGGCAATCAGGCCAGCAAGGGAGGGCAGTTGGGAGGAACCAGACCTGCAAGAGAGGGGAGTTGGGGTGATCAAGCCTGTAAGGGAGGGAAGTTAGGGATGACTAGGCCAGCAGAGGAGGGAAGTTGGGGGCAACCAGGTCTGCAGGGAAGGGCAGCTGGGGTGGGGGGGGGGGAGGAAGAGGGGGAACAAGACCTGCAGGGGAGAGCAGTTGGGGGGATCAAGCCTGCAGGGGAGGACAGTTAGGAACAAACAGGCTGGCAGGGGAGCAGTTAGGAATCAATCAGGCCGGCAGGGGAGTGGTTAGGGGGTGATCAGGCTGGCGGGCAGAAGTGCTTAGGAGCAATCAGGAAGGCAGGCAGGCAAGCAGTTGGGAGCCAGCAGTCCTGGATTGTGAGAGGGATGTCCAAATTCCTGTTTAGGCCCGATTCAGGTGGTAGGATGGGGCCTAAACGGGCATTTGAACATCCCTCAAGGGTTCCCAGATTGGAGAGAGTGCAGGCTGGGCTGAGGGACACACCTCTGTGCACGAATTCCGTGTACTGGGCCTCTAGTGGTAAATAAGTGGAGATGAATACTTGAAAGTGAAAATGGTTGATTATAACATATTCCCACAGTGTTACCTGTCCATCAAGTTAACATTTATGAAAATGTTACAATAAACATGGAAATATACCAGTTATAATTTTGAGCAAAAATGAAGCATAAAGTTGTATATGAAATGATTTTTACCAAGTTAACATACGTGGTAATAAGTCTGAAAGACGTGAAAATGTTTAAAGTGGTTCTCTTGGGATTATGGGCATTTCTTTTTATTTTTATATCTTCTAAATGTTAATATTGGGTATTTCTAGGAAAACTTAAACATAGAAACTTAAATTAGACCCAGATATGGGGTTCCATGTTAATTTCATATATATATATATATATATATATATATATATATATATATATATATATATAGTGTGAACTTATGTAATCACCTAGAGGCCTGGTGCACAAAATTCACGCACTGGGTTGGGGGGTGGTGTCCCTCAGCCAGACTGCCCCCTCTCACAGCCTGGGAGCCCTCAGGGGATGTCCTACTGGCAGCTTAAGCCCACTCCCTGCGGGGAAGGGGCCTAAGCTGCAGTCTAGCCTCCCTCTGTAGGAGGCGACCGGGCTGATCACCCCGCTGCTGCTGCCACTGCTGGCAGTCCCTTCACCATGAAAAATGACAACTTTCGCCACACATTTTCAAGATGCCTCTTCCATAGGATATGACATTTCTTTTTTTATCCTCACCTGAGGATATTTTTCCACTGATTTTTAGAAAGCATGGGAGAGGGAAAGACAGAAACATCAATGTGAGAAGGACACTTTGATTGGTTGCCTCCTGCATGAGCACTGACCTGGGCCTTGGCCAGGGAGAAGCCTGCAACCTATGTACATGCTCTTGATCAGAACTAAACTCAGACCCTGTGATCTGCAGGCTGAGGCTCTATCCACTGAGCAAAACTGGCTAGGGCAGGATATGACATTTCTTAGCTCCTCCAGCAGCGGACCTTCATTTTTTCCTCCAGGAGTGAGGTAGAAAAACCCTAGATCTCCTTCTTGATTTATTACCCAAGTTACCAAGATCACTGCGAGTGTTGTACCAGGAGTTTAACCAATGAGCAGTCAGAAAAGGTGTTTCCTCTGCAGCTCATGTGCAGAGGCGGGCCCTGTCTCTGCTCTGGGACTGTTCAGGCCACCGCGGCACCTGTGGCTCGCTTCACCTCTCACGCAGTCCCCTCCTGCCCACCTGTGTATGCAGCCTCCTCCTGAGTGGTTGCGACATTATGGCATCCTGGACGATTTACCTATTATCTCTTTATATATATAGATTGCATCACCTGGTCCAGCAGCTACTTTACCTTCTCTAATAGAAACAGTGCATCTGCAGCATCCGCACATCTGTCAGCCAACATGCTCACATCCTCTTGGGTTATCACAGGCTCCTTTAGCTGCTCCACCCACGACCACATCAAACTGCACAGGATGAAAGGATCCCTCTCATGACATATTCTTTCCCAAGCTCCGTCTCGGGAATTTAGCTCTTTCTAAAAAGAAAGGAAGATAAAGAGAGAGGAGAGATAAGGAAGAGGGAAGAGAGAAGGGAGAAGCAGCAGGCACCATTTGACATCTGATGAACCTCAAGCTATCCAGAAGAAAGTCTCTGGGGAAAGATTGGAACCCCTCCAGGACCACTTCCAGGAGGTGCATTGGGTTGATACTGACCCTCTCTAAGCCTCAGTTTCTCTCTATGAACTGCATCCCTGCCCCACAGGTGTTGAGCAGACTGAGGTGTGCTAAAGCTCCTAGTGCAGAGAACGGCTTAGTTAACCTAAGCTTTCCACTTCACGCAGAAACTGCAGGAACAGGTCAGGAAGGGAGTCTGCCTTTTCAGGGTCTTGTCGAACAAATGAGAAATATTTGCTGCAATGAAGTTGAATGGTAGATTAAAAGTTATAAATAAGAGGATATTTGCAAATTAACCTGGGACAAGGAAAAGCTTCTGACTGAAACTAAATTGTATCCCCCAAAAGTTGATAAATGTACTTCTTTCAAATTCTTTTTTAGAATCCTATGTAGAATTTAACAAACAATAAGCACTGTACCCTGAAATTTGATAGGGTGTAAACAACTAGGAAGTCTTGCTAGTACTCCACAAGCCTGCAGGTAATTTAGGCAGGTGATTTTAAAACTTTGCCTCACAGAGAACAGGGGAAAAGTGAGATAAGAATTTTAATTTCTGACAGAACATTTAATTTATGTTTTAGTAAATGAAATATGGTTGCAATAATAGTAATCATAATAATTGCTGCCATTCATTCACCCGTTCTATAATTATAGAACACTTTCCTTATGATAGGAACTCTGATACATGACTTACCTGATTCTACAGCAACCCAATTCCCTCTACCAACAAATGTACTGGGGCTCAGGAAAGATAAAATAACTAGCCCAGGAGCCCAAATCGAGAACGGGGCAAAACAGGCATTCCCACTAGGGCTGCTCCACCCAGTCTGTGATGTTTCTTCATGCCATCAGGGTCCTCTGGCATAAATAAGTCAACTTGAGAAAACAGGCTGGGCAGAAACAACAAACTCAAAGACCCGCTTATTAAATGACTGTTACATCAATATGTTTTCTGAAATCTTCAGTGGGATTATGAAAGACATGAGAATGATGAAAAATATTAAACACATGAGCTGTAGCCTGGCTCTGGGGCATGCAGACCATGTGACTGCAAGCATGACATGTGACCCTTGGGACCCATAGTTTCCCCATCTGTGATACTTAATTTATAAGGACTATAATATTAGGTCTAGTAATAATTAATGTCGTTTTCTAATACTTTTTTAAATCGAATTTATTTAAACAATACAACAAAATTTAATCAACAATATAGTTGCCATTGTTTTCTACTACTTGTGCCCAACGCTCAGGAAGCATTTTAATCCCTCTGTTTAAAATTCTTGTGATTTTGATGCAAAAAATTCGGTCAATGCATTTTTGAGGCATTCTTCATTATTAAATTTTTTTCCAAGAAGAAAGTTTTGCAAAGAACAAAACAAATGGTAATCGGAAGGGGCAATATCAGGAGAATATGCAGGTTGAGGGAGAACTTCCCATTCCAACTGGTGCAGTTTTTCAGCAGTGATTCTTGCAGTATGCAGTCGTGCGTTATCGTGGTGAAGAATTACGCCCTTCCGATTAATCAGCGCGGGTTCTTTTTCTCTTAAAGCTTGGGTTAACCTTTCCAATTGGGCACTATACACTGCATTTGTAATGGTTTGGTTAGATGGTAAAAGTTCATAATGAAGAAGTCCTTTAAAATTCCACCAAACACACAACATCACTTTTTTCGCATGCAAGTCAGGTTTTGGCGTGGGCTGCGGAGCCTCACTTTTGTCCAACCATTGAGGCCGCCTTTTCAAATTAACATCCAGCACCCATTTTTCATCTCCGGTAACAATTTGCTCTAAAAACGGCAAACGGTTTTGACGAGAGAGGAGCGAACTGCAAATTGTGACTCTTTGATTACGGTTGTTGTCGGTCAACTCATGAGGAACCCATTTTCCAAACTTTTGGACTTTGCCAAGTGCACGCAATTGATTGGAAATTGTTTTTTGTGAACAATTTAAAGTTGTCGCAAGCTCTTGCTGGGTAATTTGAGGATTTTGCACCAAAAGAGCTTGAAGAGCTTCTTGATCAAAATTGGACACACGGCCTCGACCACTCTTGTCATCTAACGAAAAATTTCCCTCGCGAAATTTCTCAAACCAACGCTGGCATTTTCTGGCGCTAACTGCATCTTGACCAAGAGCACTACAGATGTGTTTTGCAGCCTCACTTGCTTTTCTTCCTAATTGGAACTCGTAAAGCATGCAGTGCCGAATATGCTCTTCATCCGCCATCTTCTTAGCCCTAGTTTTGCAACAAAAACCAAACCAAACACAAACTTTTTCAAGCAAAACTTGTTAATTGCATTTCACACGTTCTGTAGATACCACGTGTTTGAAGGTTATGTCAATACAAGTCAACGCCAAGCAAGATTTTAAGCGAATATTTAAAAACGACATTAATTATTATTAGACCCGATAGATTAACAAAGAACCTGTGAATAATATCATCTGCCTCAAAGAATTAGTGTGAAAATCACGAGATAAAAGACATGAAAGGGCCTAATATAGGGACAAGGCAGCATTATGCCATTTAAATCATGTTCATTTTATTTTCTTTAAAATATATTTTATTGATTTTTTACGAGAGGAAGAGAGAGGGATAGAGAGTTAGAAACATCAATGAGAGAGAATCATCGACTAGCTACCTCTTGCACACCCCCTACTGGAGATGTGCCCACAACCAAGGTATATGCACTTGACCGGAATCAAAACCAGGACCTTTCAGTCTGCAGGCCGACACTCTATCCATTGAGCCAAACCAGTTTTGGCTCATGTTCATTTTATTAAAAAAAAATTTTTTTTTTCATTATAGCTGATGTACAATATTGTATTAGTGTCAAGTGTACAGCCCAGATTAGACCTTTGTATAACTTACAAAGTGATTGCCTGATAAATCTAGTACCCATCATACACCATACAGTACTGATTATATTACCTATGCTGTACTTTACATCCCTGTGACTACTTGTAACTACCAATTTTTACTTCTTATTCTCCTCACCTTTCCCACCCAGTCCTCTACCCTCTGGCAAGCATCAATATTCACTGTATAAGTGAAACTTTCTGTTCTGCCTGCTCTTCTTTTCTGATTCCACATACAAGTGAAATCATCTGACATTTGCCTTTCTCGGTCTGGTTTATTTCACTCTGGTTTATAACACCCTCTAGGTCCACCCATACTGTTGCAGATGGTAAGAATTCACTCTTCTTTATGACTTAGTCATAATCTATTGTATGTTTGCACCACTTCTTTATCTATTCATCTGTTGGACACTTACATTGCTCCCATATTTTAGCTATTGTAAATGCTGTTGCAATGAACCTACGGATGTATATGTCTTCTTGACTTAGTGCTTTGTGTTATTATGGATAAATATCCAGAAGTGTAATTGCTGGGTTTTCCCTTATCTCTTGTTATAGCCTCTGTTTAAAGTCTATTTTGTCTGGTATAAGTTTTGCTATCCAAACTTTTTTTTTTCTCCATTGCCATTTTCATGAACTACCTTTTCCACCCCTTTACATTCAGTCTGTGTCTGTCTTTTTATTTGAAGTGAGTCTCCTGTGGACAGCATATGTATGGGTCTTGTTTTCTTATCCTTTCAGGCACATGATGTCTTTTGATTAAAGCATTTAAACCATTTACATTTAAAGTAATGGATATATATTTATTACCACTTTATTATTCATATTTTTTATCTTTTCCTCCCCTTCTTCTTAAAGAAGACCCTTTAACATTTCTTATAATACTGGTTTGCTGGTAATGAAAATTTTTTGTTTTTTTCTCTTGTATGGAAAGCTCTTTGTATTGTCCTTCAATTCTAAATGATAGCTTTGCTGGATGGAATAATCTTGGCTGCAGGTCCTTATTCTTCATCACTTTGAATACTTCATTCAATCCCTTCTAATATACAAATATTCTGTTGAGAAACCAGCTGACAGTCTTACGGCAGCTCCCTTGTAAGTAACTAATTGCTTCTCTTCCCCTGCCCCCCCCCCACATAAAATATATCTTTAAATTTGTCAAAAAATGGACCTCTAACAGGAAAACTACAAACTGGGGAATTTAACTGCAAAATACATGACTAAGATGAACCTATTAAGAATTCTTATAAATTAGTAAGAAACAAGACAAGCAACTCAATGGCAAAAGCCTCATAGATATAATCCACAAAATATAAAATTAATAAAGAAAAATTTAAACATACCAAGTTTTGCACAATGACAAAGAGAGAACATAGCCAATAGTGGTATGTCAAGTTGAAAAAACGATTATAAACATTTTGTTAGCAATATGATAATATATAGCTTTGACAGTACATACTTTTGAATTTTTTCTAAGAAAAATGAAAATGAATAAAGATTTAGTTATACCACTGTGGTCAATACTAATAGGTTAAATAAATTATGGCAAACCCATTTAATGAAATACTGTGCACACATTAAGACTGCTGAAATATGACATGGAAAGACATTCACCACTTAAAGTTAAAAAAAAAAGTCTTCAATGGAGGACACAAAACAGTGTAAGCAGGGCTAACAAGTTTTTTAAAAATATATAATGTGTACTGAGAAAGTCTAAGAGGATAGACAGCAAAGTATGTTTTCCTTTGTCTACATTTCTACAATGTACACAGATTACCTATTTTGCTTACTTGTTTTTAAGAGAAGTTACTGAAATTTGAGTGCAGTAAAAAAATCCTAATTTCAAATCATCACAGTTTGAACTAAATTGAATATTTTCAGGTTAAATGCAAAGAGAGCAACTGATAAAATTACTACAAGCTTTGTTCCAAAGGCAATTGTTGTATAATAAATAAAATGACAACCAAAACCACCTTTATTTTAGTCTTCAATGTTCTTCCACTCCCCCC